GAGTTCAAGCAGCTTTTCTCTTTTTTTTCTTTCTTTTCCTAAATTTAGACGCGGGACTTTCTGTATTACAAAAGCAGCTCCAGCCCTGGCGGAGCGAGAGACCGAGAAGCCCCGGTGAAGGGCGGCTGCAGCAGCCGGGGACTGAGGCAGCTACAGGCCCGAGCCTGGGGGAAGGCCTTTAAAAACTACACCTCCACCTGAGAGGATTTCCCCCCGAGGGCCGCTTGCACAAGTGAAATGGGAAACAACGGGGTCTACAACAAGGCGGAGAACTGGCAATTAAATTTAACGTACATTTTTGGGGAAAAAGGATAGCTATTCAGAGAATTACGGAAACGAAACGGGCAGAGGAAGAAGAGGGAGTTCCAAGAGAATAGGTTCTCTGTCAGGATGTGCTTCCCTACCAAACCACCTAGTTGTCTGGGGAAAATGGAAGATCCCTCCAATTACACTACTGTACCCTCCCCACTGATTTTAGAGCACAGGTTATCGCCCTTTTGTGGTCCCTGATAACTTTACCCAGTAAACCATGTGCTGCAAGTAACATCTCACTTCAGCCAAGCGATAGCATGGCAAGTGGAGCAGGAATTAAAGTACAGGGCTTTGTGGGCAGTTTGTTACCTGTGAGCCAGAAGTTGAAGACTGCTGCTCTAGACTTTCCCTCTCTCTGGATAGATTGATAAACAATACAATTCTGCAGAAAGCCCTCAGGTCTCTGACGGGGGTAGTTCCCAGGTCAGACTTGTTCAGAAGCTCTCCCCTAGAAAGCAAAGTAACACCCATTTGTGCTCTGCCCCTCTCAGCACGCATGGGTGGGATTTACTCTTCTTGCAGAACTAGAAGCGGTTGGTGGTTTGACAGTCGTGCCCTGCTTTTACATGAAGGTAAGAGGTAAGACCTCTCCAAAATATGAGACTGACCCTGCCTCAAATTGCGTAGCTGTTTTCCTGGTTAAAAACAAAAAAACCTCTCAGCACAATAGACAGAACTGCTTAAAATTCAGGAGAACCAAGCTGTGTCAACACCATGTTTTTAAAAAGCCACAAATAGAAAAGCTCTTCATAGACAAACATTTCTACTGGAAGTAAGCTGTACTTTTAAGCTTGTCCTAACTGTGGTTGGGGTCTTAACTGTTCCATTTCTATCTCCACAGATTTAACCATAGAAATTAAGTACATGGAATAACAGTGACTATTTCCTCTTGATAAATGCGAGGGGGACATCATTTTTCCATCTCTCTTCCATTGTTTAGCTCAATTATTTAGGGATTATGAGACCAAATGATAGGGAAAGGAGGAAGAACAACCCAGTCATTTAGCACGTCAAGCCCTTCTGCAAGTCCTCTAGGACTTCTGTACTTGAGAGCTTTTCTATTTTTTCTACAGAAGTCCCTCTCTTCCTATCAACTGTATCTGTAGTATCAGTCCGACCATAAATGCATTCTTTACCAGAAGTTTCCTCCTTAAAGGAGCTAATGAGGACCTTGTGCAAAACAACTACAAATCATGGTGAGGGGCACAATCACAATACAAGCATGTATCACAACCATCAGTAAATGCAGATAATTGAGGGATATCAAGGCAACCATGGATACCTAAAGGGAGGCAGTAAGTCTTGTAGCGTAAGGACTTGAGAAGATTAATGTCTACATCTTCAAGTGCCTAAGAAATCCTTCCAAAGCTAAATTAACCTACATGAGTAGCTCATACTATTGTAGCAACAGAGTGTTTGTAATTTCAATTTAACTGTTAATGCATGAACGGGAACAGACTCGGTGCTGGTAAAGTTAATGGAAACTTTGTGGTCACTTCAGATAGGACCATAGTTTCATCACCTTACTGATAATTAAGCTACAAAGGGTCTAGTAATGAAGCCTAAACCTGGAAGGAAACTGCCCAGGAGATTCTAACCAGTAACAAATTTACCTACCTTCCATGAAATTGACTTTCTACAGAAGTTGAAGAAGTGGAATGAACAGTGATTTTTCTTTCACAACCAGAGAAAGGTTGGTTATTTTTAAATTCAGATATCCCTTTGGAAAAAACTACTTCAAATTCTTCCGTCTGGTAATAGGCTTATTCCACACTCAGTGACATCAATGGGATTGCTCACAGAGCATCACCTAAAAATGTTAACTCTCTAAGGAATCAAGGGTTAGTGAATTTTAAAAATTCTAGTAGAGAGAGAAAGGAAAAAGGAGTAACTTATACTAATTCAGAAATTCTATTAGCTCCCAGTGTAGCTTATTAACCCCCCATCAAATTAAGACTAACTCTGTCAGGGTTGGTAGCAAAGCTTAAAAGAACAAAAACAAAAATCCAGCAGAATTCCTGATCTTCCATCTGATTTAGGCAGAACAAAAACTCGTTCACTTTCTCTTGCTTTCTCTCTTACCAAGTCCCATACTCCTCAAAAGGGTTCGAGTTCCCTCCCCTCATTCTCAAGAGATATCAGCAGGCTACACATTTGACTAACAATTTAAAAGTGAGCTAGTGTACTGTAAGTACAGAGGAATACTAATTTAAGAAAGCAAATCTCAGAAAACGTTTCAAAGTAGCAGCACAAGTGTCCTAGTTCTCAAAAATAGAAACAGCAGCGTATGACAGTTTTGACTTCTATAAAGAGACTAAAGCTTTTGCTGCTCATCGTCTCCACAAAAAAAGCCATGCCAGTTTTTAGTTAACTGTTTCCAATTTTAGCTTAGGGGTAATGTGATACGTTCTTTTCAGTAAGACATAATAGAAATCAGTATTTTTGCAGTTTTGCCTCATCATGAGGTATACACACATTCTACCCGCTTTGCTCTATGCTCCTCCATCACACTGATGTCAAATATGACCTCAAGTACCAGTCATCAGTTAGGTTCTAATGAGAACAAACGTGAAGGCTTGAATCCAGTTATCAACCCATTACATTTCTGCAACAAAATACTACCCTGAAAACTTTATCTTATAAGAGACAGCCCTACTCACTACTAGGCTGTTTCTTAATGCTTTGTGTGATCCTTCCAAGTCCAAACACCACCTCTGCTGTATATGGTCCTTGAAGTCAAAGATGTCCGTAAACACTTGTTTATGCTCAAGAACTCAACACCTGCTCAAATCACGAGAAGCTCATCATTCAGTTCAACAGCAGGGAAGACTGAAGCTGGGCTCAAATGCTGTAGTGTTTGTCTCAGCTGCCAAAGCAAATGACACTAATGAACAGGAGAGCATGGTATGGCCAAAGCAAAACACAAATCTACCCATTTGAGTTCTAAAATATTTTATCCTGCACTATCAGGAATCATTCATATACAATACTTCAATCGCAAGGTACTGCTGCAATACAAGTGGTAAAGAGACTACTAAAATTAAAAGCATATTCTAATATTTATGAAAGGACTAATCTCAAGTATGCAGGATATTTGATTTATAACTGAAAGGTAAGAACTGTATCATGACTACTGTTGAAGAATACTCCTTTGATATTGTGTCTTTGAAGAGGAAGGCAGATAAGGTATCTATATGAAACGTGATAACTGTTCAACAGGCTGCACTAAGCTGGCGAATCCTTATTTCCTTCAGTAAGAAATCAAGTAGTGACATAAAGAAACTATTTACATAGGCTGTGGAATTTTCTGGTGTTAACTCCAGTGATGTGTCCATGAGATAACATAGTATCTCATTCCCATCAGGAGCACTGCTCTACAAGGACATCAAATCAAGAGGGACATATTCCCGAGTATCACGCTGTAAAGCAGAACCCAGAACTGCATTTGTATTCTGTAGTGTTTGGGACCTATCTTATCCTCTCTTCCGCTCCCCAGGCCCCTAGCATTGAAGTATAAGGAAAATGTAACACAAAAGAGCTCCACAGTAGTAAAAGGCTGAGGTCAGGATACACAACCAAGTTACTGCATCTCATGGAACTTCCGCAGGGCAGCCAGGCCACAAGCACTGACTGTCTCTCAGTCCTTCACAAAAGCAAGGTCTAAAAGCCAAGTCACGACAGATCTCTTTACACACGCTAGCGTAAGCATGTATCCCAAATGCATAGGTGCACACAGTACTGTAATTAAATTTTTACTAAAAGCCTCCCACAATCATATTCCAGCAATATTGCCAGTGTAAGTGGCTTTTCTAAGAGATTCTGGTGTGCGTATTTCATACCATCAAAACAGAGAAACGTACTACAAGATTGTCCTACTTGAACACTCCAGGATGTTCACACAGCAATGAATGATGCACCTTGAATAAACCAGAAGAACTCTCAAAGTTGTTTGGGCATTAGGCAATTACAATGCTAAAAGGCGACATGACTCCAGTGGTAAGACGACAAGAGTTTCAAATTTCCAAACCAGTTCTTCTCCTGTTTTAATACAGTTTTAATGAACATGAGTCCAAGAGATCACTTGATAGTATGAGGTACATTCCTTGACCACATATGGCTGTGCTTAAGGAAAAGGACAAACATATACTTAAATTAAATAGTGTAATTTAATTTAGTAGCAGTTTAATTATCATTAAGTTAAAAAAAGTTATAATTAACTATTAACGTTAATGACTTGAGACCTTTCAGAAAGCATGAATCCAAAAGGAAATATCCAGCAGGTGGTCACAGACTTGTAGTTTTTCCACCAGCACTGCCACCTGCAGCAGTCTCTTAAAGACTATTTGTTCAACGAAGAAATTGGTCTACAGTCTGTAACAGGAGTCTTGGCTCTGCTACTTTGCATGGTCTTCTAACAGATACACAATTAACTCATAGGTGGACAACACAATGGCTGTGTTTGGTATCTGCCGGATGAGTTGGGCAAAGAGTCCTCTATAGAAGGCAAGATAGCCTTCTTCACGTGCTACCAGACGTGCTGTCTGAATGAAAGTCTTGTATTTTGTGCCTTCTTCTCGCAGCCGTGTCCGTATGACCTCTGCAGAAAAGCAACACAGAGCCCAAAGTTAACAAGAGTTAAACCTTCTCATTGAGAAACATGCCATTACCAGGGAAGAGCATGCAAAAGCCTCCCGTACCAATTGCCTGCCAGTACTTTCAGCCATGGAATCCTGTACACTTTGCCCTTCAGGCAAGAAGCAAAAGTTAAAGATGAGTTCCCTTTCATGTGGAATAAGTGGATTATTTGCTCATTCAAGCTACTACAGAACTAAATGCTTCACTGATGCTCACTTAATCAATATTGTTCTTTCTATATAACCATGGTAACATTCACGTCTATCCAAAAAGAATAACACTGCTCAGCCCACAAGTGTTTCCCACCACTTGATCACAGAATCCCAAAGGCTGCGGGTGCTCAGCTAGATGAGGCTACTCGTGAGAACAGAAGCATTAGGAATTCAATTTCTTTTTGGCATTTTTTGAGTTGTTTTTAAACTAGGAAGTCCCAATCACCAACTATGTGGCTAACTAGGAATGGTGGGACCAGTACTGAAAATGCCAACGCATATGCACACGCCACAGTCAGCCCTAAACCCCATCGTTCGTCTTGGATTACATGCAACAGCTGTTCTACTGCAGTCATAAATGGAAAAGTTAACATACCATGTGGGTAAGCAATACAAGAGGCACAGCCCTTGGAAACAGCAGCAGCAAACATCAGCCCAAAGAAGTTTGTCGAGTTCCTTTCGGTCCCCTTAGGAGGAGAAGGGGGCAGTTGGACTTCTTTTAAGTGCTTTTTTAAACTTTCGTATATAGCAAAGCAGATAATGGTCTCAGAGATCCCAGCATAGGAGGCAGTCAGGCCCCTATAAAAGCCACGGATACCTTCTGTCTGGTAAACATATCTAGCACACTGCAAAGCATTCATTGGTTTTGAACCCCGGACTCTAAAAAACAAACAGAACAGAGCATATAATAAGCCCAGAAAAAGAATTAATATTTAAAAAAACCTCATGGCTTTCAATAGTTTTTATAACTACAGAAATGGTTCTCTGCTAAGTTCTACTCCAAAAGCCTTCTAGGAAAGCTGCATAGAGCGGGACTATCATACTAAGAGTGCACACTTGGCTTTGCTAATTCACTAATACGTACTCGTAATAATTCTTTCAGCTCAAGTTCTATCCAGCCTGTCACAGTTCACACCAATGCTTTAAAAGACAATAAGCATTGAAGAGACACTGCTTTGTCTTAAACTAGTAATTCCGTTTAAAGCCATCTTCAGCATGCCAAGAGACAGAGGTCTACTACGTGAGAAATGATCCTTCATCTTTAAGAGGCAGCACTCAGTTCAAAGGTGCCACCCTGTGAAGTGCTGGAATTAAGTCTTATAAATTATTTATAAGTTGTGGTGCCTTAAAGGATCTTTCTTATCTGACCTAACACGTCCTTGCAGGAAGGAATTTCCATTCTAAGCAGTCACATTATTAGCAGAGTCCCTTATTGCTTCGGTATCCACCAGTGACTCAATCACTCAACTAAAAGATATTACTGTCAAATTCCCTCTCTGACTTCAGGAGGTATGCTTAACAGTAATACAGTGCTGAAGGAAGCAAAAGAACATTAATCCACTGCAACAGATTCTTATTGCCTCTAGAATGTTTCATGAAACTAAACTAATGGGGCTTCTTTACAACTTAAAACCATCACCCTTTCTGTTTACAGCTACCTTGGCTTGTTGCAGTAACACACACATCTGTATGATCTAGGATCAGTACGAGCCATGTTCCCAAATGGGACACAGACTGCAACCTCATGCTCAGCCTCTCACATGAGCTCTTCTGACCTTTCCACAGCCTCTATTATTGCTCTATCAAAGCATTTCAGTCCTTGATATATTTATCCTCAACACCAACCCCTGAAGTACAGAAGATTCTGTAAGCAGGAATCAGAGAAAATTAATGCTATGCCCAACTTAAAATTTACAGTGAAACCAGAAACTGAACCTAACTCAGCACTCAAGGCAACTTCCACATCCTTCTCAATAGTAACTGTGCATCAAACTGAAGCAGGACACACAGAACCTTAACCTTTAGTCTGACCAGGCAGAAGCATGGTGGCTTGAAAGGTGGAATTGAGAGTCAGGGAAACAACCAGGTAAGATCTATCAAAGGACAAAGAGCCACGAGTAAAAACGTGAAAGTTCAGTTTTCCAGAGGCTCCCTTAGCCACCCAGTGTCATCCAATCTCCCTCAATCAGTTACTTACTTCCGTTCCAGTTGCATTCTGGTTTTCACCATCCATACAGGATTCATCAGGGAATTTGTGATAAAGGCTGAAAAAGAGAAAAGAAAACCAAAAGTATAGCTGAATCCAGGCCGGTGTATTGCCATGACAAACATGAACTTTATACACCGTGCAGTGTATATAACGCTTTTAGTTACCAGCTCTATCTAGAGGTTTCAAAAGACATGCAGGCGCGTAGCTTACAATCTCTCTCTTGCCGGAGAACCATCTCATGTTAAACTTCAGGAGGCGTCAACCAATGGCCTTAGAATTTCTTAAAGGATTCTTCCTTTTTGCACCTATTTTAATATGTACTTCATGTTCCTAAAGACTGCTGTAGACAAGATACCTTACTTACTGACTGGGTTTTAGAATAATAGATAAAAGGAAACCTGTGGGGAGCACACACGTGTATTAGTCTTGTTTTCCCCAAGGCTCTAGGTGGTGCCATTGAGCCATCTCATTAAGAGAATCCACCCATAATTAAGGGCTTAGTTTGGGAAAGACTATTTTTAATGATCACTCTGGTGACTGATGCTTGAACTAGTGGAGCTCTTCTGCAGTATTTTTCCTACAAGAACAAACTATTCTCCCTATCCTGGTAGGAAAAATACAACATCCTAAAACAATTTGGCTAAGACTATCAAAAGTTTGCTGGTGTCTACTAATATTTTTTTTTTCTTATATTCAGAGACATTACCATGGCATTGCAGCTGGAAAACAATTCATCCCAAGTTAGTAAACAATAATCTAGAAATATTTCAAAGCGTTGAACAGGTAAACAGTTCCTCTGTAGACAAGGTAAATTAGGAGCTAGCAAACTCCTGTTTTCTGGCATGTACAACCTCAAACTAAGCGTACCTTTTCGGAACACGCCACACACTGGCCTCTGTACTCATTCATATACCACAATTATCCAGAGCCGTCAGCCAAGACTGGTGTGTTAGCCTAGGTCCTGTACAGACAGACCAAAAGTCCAGTCTCCACCTTATGATTCATCCTATTTGTTTCCTAACTATTGAGAGGGATAGAGGAAGTCTTGTAGCAACAACCGCTTGGAATAAATACTTTAAAGAATTAAGGTGCATCTCAGAGCCGCATGGATACCAATGCATGTATTGCCTGCTATTGGCGAGGGGCTGGACACTGGGGTATTGCTGCAGACCATATGGGAGATGAATTACAAATACATACCTGCAGAACCTGCAGAACAGATGTGCACAATGTTGCTGTTGGGCACAAAAATGCCATTAAATTGCTCTTTGGCTTTGGAGTAGCACGCAAAATAGACAGCTCTGGTGGGGGGGGGAAGAGAGAAGAAAAGCAATGTAATACACACAACATCAAATTAGACACGTTACTATTCTTCCCCCCACCCCCCGAAAAACAAGACTTTCTCTCCAAAGAGGCCTCCACATAACTAATTCCACCTACAAGGACAGAGGGGTTGGGTTTTTTTTTTCCTCTTACACTACAGTGCCACTGTCTGACTTGACACCCACAGGGTAGAAATATTTTACTTTCACACCAAGTCTGAGATGGGAGGCAACATGGTCTTGCAGACAACGCAAGTTAGATTGGATACCTACACCAGCTCTGGCACTAAACACGCTTTGTAAACTTGGGAATGTCACTTTCCCACCTGGAGCCTATGTTTTCCATAAATTTGTTCAGCACTGTAATTGCATTAGCAGCAGTTCATGCTTTAAACACTTAACACTGGGCTGAAATGAAAGAGTTTTACACACCTCAAATCCCTACGTAACGCATAGGAATAGAGGAAGCTCAGCTGATCTGCAACAGTCAATATGATGAGTAAGAAGCTGTCTGAACCAAGTATGTTCAGATCACAGCTCCTGGAAGTGAACTGCTAGTAAAAGGTGGATATTGGTGGCTATAATTTGAGAATTTCCATAGTACCTTATTCCAATCTTCTGGAAGAATATGAAGGAACACAAAAGACAGCATGAGTGAGCTGCATGAAAAAGCAGGCAGTCTCAGATTCAGATCCCTGCTGCAAAGATTACCTGTACAGAGACAGGATTCCCCACTTCTGGGGGAACATCCTACCTACTAGGCAAGAGGCCAGAGAGGGAGTACACCACTCCTCAATTCCTTTTTAACTGGTTCAATTTCAGGCAGAGAACATCTGCCAATTTCCCGATTGCTAACAAGTTTTAACATTTGCTAGGCACAAAGACCTTCAGCCCTGCCAAGAACAGGAGAGTCATAGGTACACGTGGAAACCATTTAGGTGCCTGTAACACTTCCAAATACAAACAAACTTTGTAGCTACTTTTGTTGTTGCTGTTTAAAAAAAAAAAAAAAAAGGGGACACCCCCCCCACTTTGGGGTTAGGTGGCAGCAATGCAAGTCTTTCCCCCTCAGCTGCAGTTTTTCATTTGAGAAGAATTTAGGCAATCAAGGACCAGATAGGTACCCCTCTCCCCTGGCATCTAGTTCCTACTCAGTGTTTGTCAAGCACTTTTATGTATTCGCAGGGAAGTAGCAGATCATATTAGAAAAACGCAAATATTAATCCTACAGATTTTTCTGCGCTACTTTCTCTTGTTTTCTCAAGCACATAAGTGGCTCTTGCAATGACTTGGAATTCAAGTGCCTTATTTAATCTGCACCTTCCACTGTTACAGAAGTGTAAAGCAGATTTTTAGAAGTATTTCTTGGTATGTATACTGTGCCGTATACATGCACAAATCTCAGTTTACAGATGGGATAACTTCATGACCTATTCTTTTGAATCACAAATGCACTGCAACATTTGGGTTAGTACCTTAAACGTGTCTTTTAGCAATAGTTTAACTATTTACCTTGATGGTGCAACTCCAACCAAGTTTGGACCCAGCCCTCGGAAGAGTGACCTTGGTCCTTCTTTTTCCAGAATTGACCTTAAAATAAAAACAAACGGGAAGGGGGGGGAGATAGTATTTGGGTCAAAAGTTATGCTGCTAATTCTGTCAGACAGTCAGTCAAAAGAACTGTACAAAAGCAACGAGTATTAATTGTGAAGCTGTTAGCTTTTAAGCTACATAATATACTTGAAAATTAGCAGAATTCTACACTACTGAATAAAAGCCGCTATACCATAAAACTTCCGTGCACTACAGGCAAATGCATGTCATATGGCACAAGGTTATAATTCCCATTCTTTGAAAGCTGTCAGGAATTGAATTAAAGTTTCATGGAGCATCCAGCGATAGTTGACTGATGAACAAAGAATATTTTTGGCATTCTCTGTATCTAAGCAATTCAGGAGTTTGCTTCCTGTATAGAGAGACAAAAAAAAGAAATCCTTTTCCCTTTCACAATTACCTAGTGATGTGTTTTTTCCCCAGAGTGAAAGCTGAACGTGGCAACCGTACTACAAGCTCTGTCTCCCCAGGTAGCTCAGGGATATCTGGTTTTGAGGGCATTCAAAAGAGTTCACATCATCTTTCCCAAGTAAACTCCAACTACAGAGGCACTGCTGTGAATCACTGTCAGGACTGGACTTCATGATCAGGTCTAAAGCAGGAAGATCACCAAATGATGCTTTCCTGCAGTTCTGCAATTGCTACAGCCCAGGTTTCCAAAGCCATTTCCACCCATCTTCCCTCACACCTTAGAAGGCACGCTGGGCTAGGACTTCTCTGAAGAAGATAAACTGTTTGGACAGCTTCCCCAGCAGCTGCCAAGTTCTGTAAAATACCTTGCTGAAGTACCTCGTTAAAAAAGACTTATCTTACAAATTCTTTGCACTACTAGCAGCAGAGGACTAAAACAACAGCCAACCACTAGTAAACAGCCAAGTATTTACCAGTGAAAGCCAGATACTGTCCAGTAATCACTGGGATTTCAGTGCACAGCAGCCCTCTTAACTGAACTCACCATGTGAAAACCATGCAAGAAAATCCAGATAACAGCGGGCTCCACGGGTACTTCACGTGCACCTGTTGGAACTGCCAATTTTTCAGAATTTGCTTTCTCGGTCATTAGCACTGTTGAGAACGTTCCCCACAGATTCCAAAACCAAGCTCATTAGACAGAAGAAGATTTGGAGCTTCTGAAACACTTTTTCTGCAGCAGAGTTGAACTTTCTGTGTAAACTCCAGGGCTGAGTGTCTCCAAGGAGACAGATCCACCAACTACTCGTTCTTTGTCACTTAACAGTCACGACTGCAGATTCCAGCTGGGGTGACTCATCAGAATCTTAAATGGATTAGACAAAAACAGCCTGTCCTTCTGGAGTGCTTTCTATTCAGCAGCAGGCTTAACCTGCCCTCCTGAGTACCTATTTTCTTTCTATTAACAGCAGTTAAGGGGCTTTCACACTCAACACCTTTAACTCTTACAGAGCAATTTTATATGTAGGGCTGTAACGGCTGCTTCTTTAGCCATACAGTTTTCCCAAATTAGAAGGCCCAAGTCATATCCAGTTTGGCAATGCATGCGTGACCAGGATTGAGAAACGGATGGAAGAGTAAAAGCAAGAGACCTAACTTCACTTCTTTCTTCATACGTTTGTATTTTATCAGAAAGATCATAATGAATAGCATTATCTGTTCTTCATAGATGCTGCCTGCAAGGGAATGACAGCATAAGTATTTTGCTCTTGCTTTTCAATCCTCTGAAGTAAGCAGGTCGAAAACTTGGTGATGCACGCAGCTGAGCCATTCCTGAAGTAAAATGAAATCAAGATCATAGTCATCAAATTTAATGAGCTTAATAAATGTATTAAAAGGTTGACCCAATTCTAAACCATTTCCTCTCTCCCTAAAAAAAAAAAAAAAAAAAAAGACGACCCCAGAAAAAGATGGGCCAAGAGGATGAATTAAAAGCCTCGTGCCTTGAAGTTTTCACTTCCTTTGGTTACAGCTGCCTAAAGTCCAATGCTGCAAGGTGAAAAGATAGCAAGGGAAAGGAGATGAAAAAAATCAAAGGCAACTGGCACTACCTTACATTTTCAGTCACGAATTGCTCTAGACTCACCTCTGAATAGACAAAGAAATGTTTGGCAGGGGAAAGAAGCACTGTTTACAATACAGAAACTCAAGTCCCAGAATGACTCTAGCCAGATAGTTCTGCAGAAAATCTGAATTAGCACTGTACTGTTATATAACTGTGCAGCTTCTCCCCAGGCCATCTGCCAAGCGTGTTGGCCTTACATAAAATCATTCAACTTGCTTTGCTAGTCATTATTTTCTTTGGCATTTCTGCTACCTGATCTAAACAGGACCTCTCTGCATCACCCTGGGGTGCCCAATGATCCAAATAAACTTGATCCATTTGCATGAGGTCTGAACCGTAAGTTTACGATGCTTTGATATGAAATACAGTAGTGGAGATTTGGACTTCAGAGTTGCCGGTAAAACTATTCAGCAGCTGTAAGCTAGATGATTTCACATTTCCTCTTCTTTATGAATACACATCTGAAAAGGGAACAGCTGGAGCATCAACTGCTGCAGTCTGAACCACGCAGAAGGCTTTTTACAGAGATCGTAATACAGGTGTAGATAGGATTGATGCGTAATAATAATTGGCAAAGACAACATCTAATAGCAGAGGAGAGCTCATTGTCAGCTATAGATGAGGAAAAGATAAAAGCTTCCAAGACCCCAATTAGACATTAGATTTTAGTGAGACTACTTTTGCAAAAAGCGTCCTTCCCCCACTCCCGTAAGTTTCAGTTACAGATCATCCACACAAGAGTGCAGACAAGCGTAACTTAAAATATATGGGAAGACAGAATTCTGGAGGTCATCCGGTTCAAACTCATGCTCAAAGCAGGGCCAGCTTCAAAGACAGATCAGCGGCTGACATGCATCACTAAGTGCAGAGAATCAGAAACCTTCTTACAATGCTGGTCCACTAAGGTGAAGAAAGGCTACAGGCTCTCACTTTTATGCGACGCTCCAAAGAGAGCGCTTCAAGAGAGGAATTAAAACTTCCCTCCATCAAACAGGTAAATAGCATGGACAGCGACAGCAACAAGTGTCTCTACTAGCTACTCAAAGCAAACTGGGAATGGCTCCAGGAAAAAGAAAAAGACAGCATATATGGCTTATTCAGTCCTTCAATCATTTGCCAAGAATTGGCCCCAGCTAGTAAGGATTACCTGTTCCAATGCTCAAAGGAGACAGTAAACATGATTATTTCCGATAATCACTTTCAGTGATTGAACTGAACTCTTTTTCTCAGTGTTGAAAAAGAGAAAAAGCGCTTTCCTCCAGAATATTTTCTGTGATAATTCCCACAAGCTAAGGCATATCAAGAGTTTACAGTATGTCCTGTGTATTGATCCCTAGGAAGTCACAACTACCAAAAAGCCTATATGTGAGGAGGCAATTTAAAAACAACACCTCCAGACACTTACTCAATTCACTTCGGAAAGTTTCTAAGTGATGGAAACAGGTTTCTGTGGAAGTTCAAAGGAACACTCAGGAGTCCTGAACACATATGTGTTTTTGGAAGAGTAATTTATCTTTCTACTGCTGAGGGCAGAAGCCCAACTGACATGAATCCTTCCAGTGCAAGTCTGGAGCAAAATTTGGTTTCCGTGTTTGCACAGAGGAACTGAAACTCAGATCACTGGTGTCAAGCAACACTGAATGACAGGAGGAGCAGTACTCACTTGAGAACACTGAAGAGCCCAGGTGATACAGATGTTGGCCTGACCATTCCTTCACCACTGATGGTCCCCAGCTGGACTTGTGGGTAGTAGACAGCCCGGAAGGCTAGCTTTGAAGATTGGAGCCTAGTCTTTATTACCTCTAAGGGACATGTAAAGATGGCACCAACTGTTCCTCCGCATCTGTAAAATACAATTTAAACAGAAGACAGAGTCAGGAAAACATAGCTGCACAGATGTGTCAAATCACAGCATGGCATATAAATAAAATCTGAAGACTTGTCTCCAGTTGCTCTGCATTGTGGACGAATTATTAGGAAGCAGAGCAGTTTTGGCATTAGGCAAGGGAGACTGTTCCCAAGCCCTGGCGGAGGTGAGAGAAGGTTGAGAAACTGTTAGAATGATCATGTGTAGTGATGAGATCAGTAAACACAAAGATGATACCCAGCACTAACAAAAAAAACCCTGACTGACCATCTGCTGGTCCCATGTTCTGCCAGGTCTTGGAATTCTGCCTGTCAAAACTTCAGAGGCATCCATGTTTCAGAGGTGGTTGTCCTAAAACAGACATACCCTTGGACAGATTTTTCTTATGGGAAGCAGGAAGCTGGCAGATGAGAACAAGCCACCGGGGATTAGGACACTATAGACCGAAAACACAGCAATATAATTCTTCACCATTTCAGTACTTATGATTAAAACAGCTGTCTACTGAAATAGCAAATATCAAAACTACGCTAAGTTAGGCCCTCCTAAAAACAATGGATACCAACTACTTTTTTGGAGGTGGGGGGAAGGAAGCTGCAAGGATGAGAGGGAGGGTGGGAAAACAGAGTAACAGGACAGAAAGGCTACTAAAGAACAGAATTCCCATACTCTGATAACAGAAGGACAAAAATAAAATACTATACAACCACACATTTATGTGTGTGTGTATATATACATACACATATAGACACACACACACACAAATATATATATAAAGAAGAAATAAATGATCCTACAATAGGCATATACTCATCTTAATGTAGTCAGACTGAGCCTCAGAAAAAGCACACCGGGCCAAGAATATAAGATGTACGAGTCCTAATTTTCATTTTAATCAGTGATGTGGAAAGTGACTGGTCAAACCATTTCTCTCTCTGCTGCTGTTCCTCTTTGGTAATTGAATGTCCCTTCTGTCAAACTTCACGACTAAACATGATGTTGAGGTTGGCTAAAAGGCACTATATCTAGATTTTATTAATCAAACACGTTGGTATTTAGGAAGACTTAACTAAATATTTCAGGTTTTTTCCAAGGACGTTTACTACAACTGAACCTATGGACTAGGAAATATTTTCTTTGTTTACACAAGTGTCAAAGCACGTGATTCCTTCAAAAACCCGTGTTTGCGATTTTCCCTTAGAAAACACTGTGAGTCAACAACTTAACTCTCTTTGATGTTAATGTGAAATTGTAATTTAAGTAGTTTTCCATGAAAAGGAGATGAATTAAAAAAAAAATCCTATTCTTTGTCTTGCGCATGAAAAAAGCATTGCTTGCTAGAGTCGTAAGAAGTTTACATGCACTAATTTGGGAACAGAGATCCATAAAGGGACATTAATAAAGGTACTAGTGCATATTTTCTAAAGCCCCATCTGTACATTACCTATTTTACTAGAAGAATCTTTTTTTAAACACAAGGAAAATGGTAATTAAAGAACGGCAGAAAAATCCAAGCTGTAGATATAAACTAGTTTATAAATGCTTTATCCAGTACAGCTTATTTTGCTTGCTGAAACAGTACATCTTATATCAAACAGTAACCATTCTTTGCCAAAACCCTGAAGCCCCTGCACTTGCACTAGCAGCCTGGCCACCCTGGCTGTACAACCACAAAAATTAAGGTTCTTTATAAGGTTCAAAAGGACACCTCAGACCACACGGCCGGGGAATACAACTTCCTCACTACAGTTCTCATGTTCTGCAAGACTCTGTCCAAGTACGTGATCCCAAACGCTATGCTTTTCAGATACAAGCGCATCCAACAGAAGAAACACTGTTTTCACTGAGACAGGCAATATGATTTAACGGCACGCTTCAATGAGTTTCTCCTTTAAGTTCTTGCTTCTTCTTCTTCCCTGCCAAAAGGGGAAAAAACCTAAACTAGGGACAATCCATACATCCAAAGTGACAGATACTATAAGAAAGAGCTTTGCCTTCATCCCTTTTAAACCACTTATGCTTTGATGGCTGAATAAAGTCACAAAGTTGTTCATGGAACTAGGTACCTAGCAGCTGAAGTTGTGTCATTTGGCTCAAAACCAACAGTGTTCACAGAGACCTTATCAGGCCTCTGATTAGTTTGTGTACTGAACCGGGGCTTAGATACAAGCCTTCTGTTGTGTCAATACCACTCTGGAGGACATTGCTTCAGTTTACCCTTCTCTGTTTTGTCAGATGCATCTCACATTGCTCATATTTCTCTGAAATTAGATCTTGGGGGAAACAGAGAGGTCAGGAATGGCTTCTCCAGCAAAACCCTTCCTTCTCCCACAGCTCACACTTACAACTCAGAGCAGGAAGCGTTTTGAGGATTCCTCTTGCAGATCCCCACTGCCACCTTTCCTACTATGTATATCCAATACAGACACAAGTATGTATAATTAACACCTGACTAATCAACATACTCAAGAGAAATTGTAAGTCGGTGGGAACTCGATGAAGAGAATTTGATTGTCTTAATTCCCAATTCATTTATTTACCAACGCTCCACTGCTGTGCACTCCATCTTCAGTCATTTATTTCACATTTATGAACATTAAAACAATACTTTCACAGTAACAATTCATAAATTCAGAACACTGAAACGCCATTTGCTGTTTCTGAACTACCAGCTGCTCAGTCTAGTGTGACATCTTGCCATACAATTTTTTAGCCTCTCTGGCATATTCCCTACCGCATCAGCTGTCTTCTTGCTTTCCTAGCCCACTCCTTGCCTTTCATCCTTTTAGTTTGATAACCCAGTTAATTTATGCAGCCTTTAATATTTAAGTACTTGTGGTAATGCATATGTAATCCTCTGATATTCAACACAATGAGTTAATATCTGCATCATCAGTTTTAACAGCTCAGAGTTTATGTTGTCAGTGTGACATTTAAGAAAAAAAGCATTATCTAACAGAGCAACTCTCAGAATGTGAACAGGGTGCTTACATTATGTCCCAAATACAAATATGCAGCAGATAGTTCAAGTAAGGACTTTGATGTATTGGGCAGCTTTTTCAGATGAGCCGATTTTCTTCCACAAGGGAACTCTATGCATCATAGCCTGGTGTTGGTCTATTCCCTGGAAAGATGGCTGAAAAATAACACACTGTGCATAAAATAAACACTTTGTATTCCTAGGGTGTTCCAAATGCCTACATCTGGGAAGAAAGGAAAAACAACCAGCCTTCCTCAGCTACATAAACAGCCATAAACCCTGAAAGATTCAGACTATGGATATACAGCCAGATAAATTTCGTTTGGGAAAATCTTATGCTGCAGTCAAGGCAAAACCTCCAAGTATTCATACTGTCACTTTGAGTCAGGGTTTTTTTTGACACATCAGTGCAGAACTACAGTTCCAGAGATGTTAAGCAGTGTTTACTGCACTAGCCTCTTGCAAAAATCCCAAGACAATGTCTAAATCTGTCCTTAATCAAAAAATAGAAACCTCCCCAGAAACAAAACACTATGGTAGAGTATCTTCAACGGGTCACACGGCAAGCCTATAACAAGAGGTTCCCAGCTATGCTGTGCATGTATCACGGACACAAAACCTCTTCAATGCCAGACACCCAACAGTTCATCAGCTTTGGCCTGTCACTTACTGCCAGAAAAACAGTATTTGTACTTCAGGCTTTGAATGCCTCCTCTAGTTACATGATGGGCCAGGCATGTATCGCCATTAGAGCAGTAAAATACAGTTCTCTGCTTTGTGATGTCCAAAGGAACTAAGGAAACTCTTGGTCTGAGAATATGAAACAGACTTTGTGTTTATGGAGATACATAATGTACTATACGTTAAGAGCTGCAGAAAAATTATTTACTTCCATAAAAAGAAAACACTGTTTAAAAAACATGCCAAGGATGTAAATCTCAAAATCCAATTCCATTTTTTCTCTTGCTGCCAGCTTTCTATCTTTACAAAGTCCACCCTGATATACCAATGACTTGCATGTGAAATAAACTTGCAGCACCCACTAGCACAATTGATACAGATGCCAAGAATCTTAATTAAGAGTAGGGCTTACTTCATCTGTCCTAGATTTAATCACTGAGCAATATTCTTAATACAAATAACAACAGAATGCTGAATGTTAAAGGAAGTTCTGCAAAACAAAAACAAACCAAAAGAAGCATCCAAACCTTTAATGATCTTTCAGTAGAGTACCACTGACTTTAGCAAGATCATGAGCAAAGATGATGAGCTGCTTGGTTAGAGGAATCATAACTTATAACCCAGCCTGGCACATTTTGCTGTGTGAGCATTTGAAATTACCTCTTCCGCCCCAAAGGACAGCAACTACTCTCAACATTTAGCAGTGAATTTTTGACAGACAGGAGTCAAGCGAAACACTTGCGAGAGAAGTATTAGTGCAAACAGTCTGGCAACTATACTTAACGGGCCACTTTAAGAACCAGGTTGACAAGTATACATCAATTCACACTTCATGGATAGCACCACATATGGCTTTAAACATCAAAATACACCTTGGGAAATCATTTGGTGCTATTGACTGGATCCCTCTGATGGATTCAGAAGCCTGTAGAGCTCCCCGAACACAGCTGCAAGACTGAATTCAGTGGGACAGCCAGGGATACAGCTCAACCACGGCACTAACAGTGCAGAGTATTATCTGCTTTCCTGGCTGCTGACCTAGGATCATGCCCATGAAGGCACATAAGGAAATCCCAAAGCGAGCAGTATATTCATTGCAAGCGCGACAAGTTTTAAATGAGATTGTATTTGCAATAGGAATTTCATTCTCTTTTTCTAAAACGTGCCACACGCTCTAGCATGATATGCATAGCGTAAGCAGCAAAGCAGGTTATATCTTTGATATTTCCTTACTGCATCGTCAAAACTGTAAACAGAACAAGCTGCTGCGTTCTCAGATGCCATAGGAAACTGAGTGCCAAAACAATACAGACTGTTCCTAATGGCTTAATTTTGAGTTATTAAGCATTCAAACAATTGCCAGCTAATACCGTTATCATCAGGTACAGATATTCCTGTAAGCACTTACTGTGTTCCTTGAGCTGACACACTGTTAGTGAATCACATAATGCACAGGGGAACCTAAACTAGGTAGAGGGCTGGAAGACAGTCAATCTCATCACCAACTCTAGCTGTCCTGGACCATGGACAGTATAGAAGACACATATACTTCAGGTGAAGACTGCTTCTCCCCATTTTACAAATGGAAACATTATTTCTCAAATGGTTTGTCAGCATTAGCACATCGCTTAACAATTAACATCTGTGGGAGCAGTATACCAGTCCCTTTCCC